AATGTAAGGATATTATTACAAAAGTTTTAAAATATTCAAATAATTCAAAATAATTCATAATACATTAATTTTTTACAAAGGTATTTAAAAATCTTCCATAGTTAATTCACATAACAGAAATACCAATTTAATTTATAAAACTACATTGACAGGTGAATAAAATTTCACATAAAAAATGTCCAATTAATACATTAGAACTTAACTTATATGAACTTATCAGAGAACAAATCTATAATAATCCCATTACTATAAGTAATAATTATATATTTTTAACTTTATAATCTATAATAATCCAAATTATATAATTTCGTACAATAAGAATTTTCCTCTCTTAATGATTTCCCGATCATGAATGCAGATTCAAATAAGTGGAGATTCAAGAATTGATTTAATCGCATATTGATTAAAATTTGTTTCAAATGAAGTCGATATATAAACAGATTCTACGATATATTATCTTTTATTAGAAAATTACATTCTTCTTATTCAATCCATTAAATCGTATTCAAAAAAATATTTTTCTTAAATGAAAAAAATGAGTAAAATGAAATCTATTATCTGAAGAAGAATTATTTTTAAAGCAAAGACATATTCGAATCAAAAGAAGTAACTTATTGTTAATACTTACTAACATCAAAAGGAAAGCAGAGAATACACCATATACGAAAGCTGATGATGCTTGATAAAAGTATTGTGCAAATACTATAAGCTCGAAAACTGGTGACTTGTCAGTATCAAAAGGTAAATCCATTTTTAATAAAAGTTTTCGATGTGTTGTTGGACTAATTTCTGGAGAACTAAAAACGCCTATCGCATAAAAGATTGTAGATATTACGCTGACACCTATTACAGTGGTCGTTGAACGATAAGACCAATGCGCTGTTTTTGATATTATGTTATTTGTATCAATAACAGCATATTTTTGGCAGTCTTCTTCCATTGTTGATAAAATATTGCGAAGGAGGCTGCAAAATAATATTTAAAATATTATATCCATGTGCAGAGTAATATTTGCAATTGAT